GAACCTCCTTGTGTACCTGTCCAATCCAACAGCAAATGATATTTTCTAGATTGATAGAATCATAGAATCATGGAGCTGGAAGGGGACTTTAAGGCCATCCAGTCCAAGGCAGGAATCCAAATCAAAGCAAATCAGACAGTTGGTTGTTCGATTTTCTCTTGAAGGCCCCCAGCGTTGGAGCGCTTGCCACCTCCCATGGTTACTGGTTCTGTTGTCGTACTGCTCTAACAGTTAAGAATTTTTTTTCGTGATATTCAGCTGAAATCTGGCTTCCTGTAGCTTGAGCCCATGATTACCTGCCTTGAACGCTGGGGTGATCAAGAACAGATCCTGCCCTTCCTCTGTAGGACTACCTTTCAAATATTCGAAAAGTCATATCCTATCTCTCCTCATTTCCTCTTCTCAGGGCTAAAGATGCTCAGTTCTTTCAACCTTTCAAGGTCCTAAACCATTTAAATAGTTTAGAACCTTGCAACTTGTCTGAGCGCTTCTCCATCAGAACCACCGCCAGTCCAACATCTACGGGGATGCCATGCCGAGGGAGAACCAGATATTAATATCTTTGAACGGGGGCCTTCTCTGTGGTGGCCACACCGTTATGGAACCCTCTCCTGAAAAGGGGGTGACTGGCCACCTCCCTGCACTGCTGACCACTCAGCAGCTGAGCGGGGAGACCCGTCATCCCGCCTCCTTCCCGGACTCGCCTACTTCCACGATTGGCACAGCATTACGACAGCCGCACACACCACACCACGAGCAGCAAGTGGACGTCCTCATTCTGGGGGTAGGGTCCAATTGGCCCGGCCACCTGTGGTGTACGTCCTCATTCTGGGGGTAGGGTCCAATCGGCTCGGCCACCTGTGGTGGTTATATTTGTATTCATCTTTTTAACGGGGTGCTCTTTGGCTCACCCTATCCGTGTTTTGGCCTGAGAGAAAGGGCTTTATTTCTCTCTGACCGACAAGAACCTCGCCTCGCACGGCCATCGTTGTCGTTCTTAGGACAGGACATCGAGACAGATATTGTGAAAAACGTGGAATGTCACAACAGACGTTTTGAGGGGGCAAAGCTGACCTTGTCCGAGTGATGGCATCGCCAAACCTGGACAGGTTTTCTGACAAAAGTTTGTGAAGCTAGATTTTATATCAGCGTTGACCTTTTTCCCAGTCCTAAAGTGCCACACTAAATGTCAGTAAGAATATTATCATGCCGCTGCTGCAGCTTAATGGTATAATAGCATACCAGAAGAAGTAGCATAAAAATAAATACTTTTGACATGTGCTATTCTGAAAATCATTCATTTAATCTTTTAATTATTTGGTGCAAGAAGATGTTCTTTTGAGCTTAAAAGGTAGGAGTTTGGTTTTTTGTTTTGTTTTTCAGAAAAGCTCCCAGAGAGCACCAGGGCAGGAACAGGAAGCCGAGTGAAGCTAGGCCTAGCTAAGCCTCAAAAGACTTCCGGTTTAGGCCTTTCCTCCCAGGTGAGCTACAGTTCGGGGTCTGTAAGTTAGGTAAAACTCCCAGAATGGGGAATTGTAGTCCGAAAATTAAAAAAAGTAATCCCTGCAAATAATTCTGGACTCCATAAACAGAACCTGCAGGCTGGCTACAACAATCTCCTCTTCCATATCTGCTTGCAGAGACAGAAGTTGGGAGCTCACTTCCCCGTTGCGCTGGACTCGGTAGCCCACAGGGTCCCTTTCAGCTCTGCATTTGTAAGATATTTATTTTATTCATTCATTCTTGCTTGGAAGAGAATGGCAGATGCTCAACACACACACACACACAGCCACCTTGCCCTCCAAATGGCCACAGACCTGTCCAGGTTGGTGCTAACAGATGCTCAACACACACACACACACACACACATGGCCACAGACCTGTCCAGGTTGGTGCTATCAACAGAGCCTCCCCCTCTCCTGGCTGTTCAGGGGCTTCCTCAAGTCCTTAGCCGTGGAGAGGAGGGAGAAGGTGAAGCCCTTCTGACTCCCAAGCTGATGCGCCAATTGTCCCCCCCCCCAGCTCCATCAGAGCAACAGCCTGCAATGGCTATTCTGAAGTCTGCTAAATGTCTGGTGGTAGAAGAAAGCCACCGGTGATCCACCCAACCCAGCCAAGATCTTGAACAAGATGGTCGCTTCAGTCCTAAGGCTGCAGCTGTCATAAAACAACAATACACTGTTATCTCTTTACTCCATTATTGTCATGTTTTTACTGCCAGGGATGGTAAAGAGAGAATCCTTGTGGGATTTTCCTTTCTTTTCTTTTCCTTTCCTTTTTTCTTTTCCTTTCCTT